TAGTAACTGATTTTACAGACATTTTATCTCTTATGTGTAATTATAAGTTAAATCTATAGCAATGCAAATAGGACAAGTAAATGTTTTATTATTATGAAGGTTGTCCAACTAGTGGTCCTAGGACAAGATTAGACCTGATGTGTCCACTACAACATTTACATCCATTATCATTCACCATAATAAGGTCAGAAGGGGGTACCTACAAATATGTCACAAGTCAGGTTCATACTTATTCCTTACAATTATTATGTATGCCCACCCTACGTTTACAATCCACAATCATTTTAGTTTTTTAATTTCATTGTGAATTATTTGCCTTTTAGAATTAATATAGAGCAAGGTATCTATAAGCTTGTTTTAATGTTATTTTCAAAAGGTAAATTCCTTTGAAAGCATGTATTAATGAGCTTGATTAACAGCTAGCAATTAGCTAAGACAAGGGAACACCAGAAATAGGATCAAACAATTGAAATTTTAACTGAAAACTAACAAGAATTCAATGTTTTTCTACTACTTAAAAAAAACAAAAAAACAATTGTATATATTTAAATGTCTTTGTATTTTTATTAACTAAACGTTTTGTTTTTTTTAATGTAACATGCAAACAGTATGTCTGATGTAATGTATGTGATTTTATTTTAAACAACCAATATGAATAAAGACAAATTTTACATTTTTACAATGATGCGTTGACACTTAGTTTATTATTTAATTTTTTTTATGGGTAATTAAAAGACAAGAATTGCTAATTTTAAGACAAAATAGGTGAGATTTCACATTTTTAAGCTTTGCCCTCTAAATTGCAATTCCCTTGTCAACTTTGCCAGTTTAGTGAATAGCCCAATTCTCTTTAGGTCCGGAGATCCCTTGCCTACCTTTCTCACTCCGCTTTTCACGTTATGCGTCTTGGGTCAGACTGTGCGTTATCTGACACGATGCTCATTATTTTACAACTGCCCCTATCTTTTTATAATCATACGCTGTCTCTGTCCGCGGTATCTGCTGGCAGGAGATATTAAAAAGACGCGGAAAATACTGATTTGTAAAGCAGGACTAAGACAAAGAATAACACACACAGGGAGAGAAACTAACAAAAACATTAAGTGAAGAAATACATGCTGACACTCACCAAGAATCAGCAAGCGGGACAAATCACAGACACCAAAGAAAACACACCCGCTAAAAAATATAAGACACTAAGTGAGCACTGAAAGATTCAATAAACAAATTCTTAGAAACATTAAAAATTGTCTCAGGGATCTACACATAATTTAGTAGTAACACCACCACGACACGCTGGGGACGTCCTCCCTTAAACCAGGAAGTAACGGATTCAAGTTAGTAGTGTTGGAAACTGTCAGCCAGATTATCTTTGCTTTTTATTTTCAGTTCTATGTTTCTTTATTTTCGTTTATTCCCACTTAATTCCTAGCTGATTAGCTCTTTGTTATTCAGCAATTGCCAACTGTGCTTTTTAATGTTGACAGATGGTGAGTACCAAATTAATGTTTTTACTTGTTAATCAATTATGTGTAATTTATTACTCACTAATTACTTAATTGTATTATTTGCACTTTCGCTATGTTTTTGTATTGCTTGGTGTGACGCAGCTTGACAAAGACCCAATTCTGGGTCGAAACGTGGCAATGGTTCCTGGGTTTTAATAAGTGTGCCTAAAGCTATTGAAGAGCCTGGACCTCTGGTGCTGCCCATGGTCTAGTTTAGCACCCTGTGGCATATGTGGATGGAGTGCAGCTTCTATTTCGATATTTTGAAAACACACATGCACACAAGCAACCATAGACAATCATACAAACACAATCATATACATTCATTCATACACAAACACAATTTGTTATTTATTAAAAGGTCCACCCAGAATGCCTACCTTTCTGTGGTAGGCATTCTGGGTGGACCTTTTAATACCTAGGATGGAGTAGGCTGGAGTGGATCCTCTCCCTAGTGGCCAGTGATTGCTGCTGTTATCACCGCTGTTCCTGCACATGTCTCATGTGCGCCGTGTAATGATGCTGATATGACATCATATCCTAGATGGCAGTTAACTGCAGGGCGCACACAGCAGAGAGAACACAAAAAGTACATACCTCCATCAATGCCTGTACTCTCCCCCACCTGCACACACACATTGATATATTTGGGCAGAGTAGGATTCTGCCAGGTAAGTAGATATGTGCTTACTCTCCCAGGTAAGAGCACCTCCCTGTTGGAACACCATAGTATGTATGTATAAGGTTGTGTGAATTACGTGCATGTACATACGATCTTGCATGTACATATGGTTAAGAGAAGGGAAAATTAACAACGGTAGGATTAGGGCAGCCCAGAACCTATAAACTTCACAGATCCTATACCATGAACGTCCCCACACCCCCCATGTTCTTGACAATAATTCCAAGAGTGAGATCTATACAAGCCTAGCTTCAAACTGCATAAATACTGTCACTGGGAATCTGCTCTACTTTCTCCAATTACCATGCGTCACTGGCCAGTGAACGTTGAGCCTGTTGCCTGGAAATTCACCCATGGTAAGAATTGTAAGTATGGCTGGTAGCATAGGACCTCTCCTGACCTGTCCACTGTAAGAACCTTGCTTGCAGGACAACTGTTTGCAAGCCCTGAATTCAGAAAAGGAACTATGGGGCGTGAGGCTGAAGCCAATATCTTGCTCCAACTGTAAGCCACTTAATGACTAAACAAAACTAAGGTAGTGGGAACAAAGATATAATTAGATATGTTGGCACCCCGACAGGTTCACGAACAGACATGACGTAGATCCAGGGTGATAAAGACTTTAGGATCAATAATTCTACTAGAACCAGCTCAAAAGGACAGAAGAGTTTATGGGCTTAAGACTTTCACAGTGATCAGATTGTCAGGAATACAGGACAGATTTGTTGAGATAGCTTCCCTTTAGATGGCCTGGTATGAGGTAAAGGAATAATATATGTCAGGCAGAGAGGATGTATAAAGAATATGCAGACTCCATGTAAATAGAAAGTACTAAAGAGGTCATGTAACATTTCTCATGACTAAGACATAACTAAAGGTGTGAAGAAAGTCATTTGAGAGGTTCTCGACAAACAAAATTAAAGTCCAAACGCGATAAGTAAAACAAACAGAGAAAAGTAACACAAAAGGTAATATGCAAACCTGTTATTAGGCTTATAAAGGTGTGGAATCAGCAGCAGCTAAAGAGAGTACAATTAAATGGACACTAAACAACATAACCACAACAGCCAACTCTGATGCTGATAGGATTTAAGTGCCATCCCCATGCTTTATGTCAAAGCCTATTGGAGAAGTCTGCCAAAACCAAGGCTCTACTTGGTATCCAAAGCCAAGCTCTCTTAGATAATGCACAGATAACCCAAAATTTACATTTCTGTATTATGTGTCAAAGCCATCCAACTGACACATTGAAAGAAAACAGGAGATTGCATACAAAAGGCTGATGGGATGTTTCAGAAGGAAAGCATTCAGAGTTAGATAGATGTTTGGGCCACCTGGCCACCTCAACAGAATGATTTAAGACCTCAGGCTCATTATTCCCTAGCCTTCTGATGGAATTGGGGATCTGGCTCTAGCAGCACTGGGACCAAGGATCTTGGTAACCAGTGAACCTCTATCATAAGGCTGGGAATTGGGGATCTGGCTCTAGCAGCACTGGGACCAGGGATCTTGGTAACCAGCGAACCTCTAGTCATAGAGCTGGGAATTGGGGATCTGGCTCTAGCAGCACTGGGACCAGGAATCTTGGTAACCAGTGAACCTCCAGTCATAGGGCTGGGAATAGGGGCTCTGTCTCTAGCAGCACTGGAACCAGGGATCTTGGTAACCAGTGAACCTCTAGTCATAGGGCTGGGAATTGGGGATGTGGCTCTAGCAGCACTGGGACCAGGGATCTTGGTAACTACTGAACCTCTAGTCATATGGCTGGGAATTGGGGATCTGGCTCTAGCAGCACTGGGACCAGGAATCTTGGTAACCACTGAACCTCTATTTATAGGGCTGGGAATTGGGGATCTAGCTCTAGCAGCACTGGGACCAGGGATCTTGGTAACCAGTGAACTTCTATTTATAGGGCTAGGAATTGGGGATCTGGCTCTAGCAGCACTGGGACCAGGGATCTTGGTAACCAGTGAACCTCGTCATAGGGCTGGGAATTAGGGACCTCCATTAATGAACCTGCATTTACATTTCGTGTGAGCTTTGCCCAGCCATGTATCTTCGCACTGCAACTACACACCTAGGACAAATACATTTGGAACTTGTCCACTTTCGTGACTCTTAGCATATTACCTCTCAATCCACCCAATGGTGGTCAAGTTAAATAGGACACCCTTTGATGACAAGAGCATAAATACCGATAATAGACGACTAAATAAATCATAATTAAATAATGCACAAACCTGCATTTCACCATCTCACTGTTGGAATTTCAATCTGGAACATTTATCCAATAATGTATCATGAAATAGAGTTTGTATGTTTCATGCAAAATGTCTATTTAGCTATACCTAATGTTAAAGGGACGCTATAGGCACCCAGACCATTTAAGTAGTCTTGGTACAGTGTCCAAGTCCCACAATGCAAATCACTGCAGATTTTGAAAAACTGCAATAATTACATTGCAGTACCAAGACTTCCTCTAGTGGCTGTCAATCAGGTCGCTGATTCTTGGTCACCTAACCGACACTGTACATCCTCCCTCTCTGTGTGAGGACATCCAGCATTAGTTAAATCCACATTGGAAAGCATTGAATCAATATTTTCTATGGGGAGGGCCTAATGAGCTTGCCCTCCAATGATATTGGAAGAGGTGCCTCACCAACCCAGTGCAAAGGGACATCGGCGCTAGAATTGGGTAAGTGACTAAAGGGTGGGGGGGTACCGGAGGCTCTATAGCATTAGCAGATTTGTATTCCTAACACTATAGCATCCTTTTAAAGTGATTTGCACTGTCGCTATGACTTATTGATGGCTACATTTTGTTCCAAACCATACTCCTGCTTATAAACCACACTATGCATTATAAAAATTACTGCTTATTTGTAATGCAGAAGTGAACCTAGTCTGTCCAACCTTGGACAGCAAAGATCAGGTGAGTGCGCTTCTTAACTAAAGAAAATGGATTGTGTACATTTTGAGAGTTCAGGAGTAGCTACACATTTTCGATTATGTTACGATGGAGAGTCATGTAAACAAAGACGTTTCCTGACCTGTGTGAATGCAAAAAGATTTATTAAACATCAACTTAGCGGCTGCAGAAAACAGGTAGAGAATGATTAAAGAAAAGATAAAACTTGCCCAAAGTCTTTATATTTATGTACACATTCCGGTTTAACACTTCACAGAGTCTTTTCATTTAAATAATTATTTATAAAATATACACATTTTTCAATATTACTCCACCAAAAATAATAGGATTTTCATCACAGCACAACTGTGATCCATTAGATTTTATATACATTATAAATGTATCATTACAATTATACAAGCAGAAACAAGCAATGAAACAAGCAATGAAAAACGGACCAGTTTTATTTCAAGAGTCCGTATAAATCCACTGTTGGATTGAGTCAAACACTGCTCTCTTCATGACTGCAAAGTAAGTCTGAACGGTAACGTCTTCCCGACCGCTGATCCTTTGTCAGCAACACACGTCTTGGCAGATAGGGGCACGTGATCACTCACTAAAACAATGTAGCATGAAGGATTTTCCTGTAACTCAAAGCAGAGCCACTGCGTCAACTTGCAGTCCTGATTAGGACTTCAATCCCATTTTCTCCATCATCTGTTCATACACAGTCCACGCCATGGCAGCCATGAAAGTTCTTCGTAAGGCACGGGGAAAACCACCACGGAAAAATCCAGTTACTCCGTGATTCTGTAAAAGTGACAGAACTAAACATTTTGCAGAATATGTGCTAAACATGTCATTGGTGATAGATGTTAACTCATGTTCGAGGGAAACTCCAAGCACCAAAACAGCAGTAAGGCTTTGACCTAAATAATTACCAGTCTCCTTTTTTCTTATTTTTGCATGCCCACACCAGAAACCCCTTAGCAGAACAGACGCCACCCATAGTTTCTCAGTTTGAGAAAGCTCCGAGTGCTGCTGGGTAGGGGCGCCGCTGATTGGATTAGAGAGGTCAGTTGAGGCTGTAAGATAATCAGTAGCTCCCTATTGACAAAAATGTTATGCCTCTTTAAAATTGGGGAGCTATTGAGTGGCTTACAGCATTGGCTAACCGATCAAAGCCAATTAGTAGCGCGTGCTCTGCAGCAACCTGTGCTTCCTGAACCTTCCTGATTCAACAGCCAGATGCTGTCTGGGGGACCTGCAGATCGGCACTAGAGGTACACTTTGGGGGTTAACAATTTGAGAATGGTTTAATCCCTTAAGTTTGTAAGGGTGCACCTGGGGGCTTCCTGGCACCATTAAGATTAAGTTTTTATGGTGCCAGGAGGGTAGTTTTCATTATCAATCACAAATGTCATTTAGGTAGCGAAGAAGAAAAGGGCACAGCAATGGTAGCAGGTAAGATTTGTCAGTATCCCCACTAGAACATTGGGAAATACCAAATCCTGGGCTCTTCTTGTGCCTTAGGGACAGAGTTGGAAACGATTGCTCTATAGTAGCGTCCCGGAACATTGAGAACTCAGAGACAGGTTAGTGTTAACCATACACATATTCTTATATGACAACCATTTTGTATCGCAGTACACACAACTGACCCTAAAGATGTGGGTGGCCACTTGCCCAGTCCATCGGTTCTTCTCGTGCGAGAGCTGCATATGAGTCTTTATGACATCAGCAGGTTGGGTGGCCACAGAAGCCATAATTCCTGCCATAATCCCACATCCAAAATTTTGCAGAGATGAGAATGCTGGGTCGATTTCTTCTGGAAAACAAAGAGACCAAGGACTTGCTGAAGTCAACTAATTGGTTTGTATAATTAAAAAGCCAATGGTTTTTACTGCCACTATCAGAATGCAACCTTTAACAATTTTATTTCAAACACTGTATACACAATAAAGGAGACAAGTTACCTTCCAGCAAGGTCAGTAAAGGTACTCTGATCAAAAACAGTGCTTTCTTAAAGAAACTCAAATAGGGAGAACCATTGTTGATGTATGAGCGGAGTACAGTACACCCCAAGGGATACTTCCCATGCTTTAACTAGTATCACTTCTCTCTACCCAACTTACCTGTTGGCTATACTCATCGAGACGCAACGTTGAACTCGATCCTGTCTGTTCCAAGTGTATTCATTACTAGTTTTCTTCTATTAACACAACGTCAGTGCAACTGAGTGTGCATTGTGAAATAGAGACGGGGCCATGTAAACTTTGCTCCCCAGCTTGTGTGATCTGAGGGATCCTACTGTGGTTCTAAAGGAACACTACGTAAGGCAAAGTGGATCGACTTTGTCTCTTTTTTAACACATTGTTTTAATCTTTTGTGTAGGAAATGTAGATATGGACAGTTTTCTCACGAACACGTGGTATGATTTATGAGATGAATGTATCAATGTTTGTTTATATCTAAAGCAGAGGTGCTTTATTTTGACTCTGCCATTGGTTGCTAGACAATGATCAGTTTTTGATAGATGTTTGGCATCTACACGGTGTACATTCATCCTTCGATCTATAGGCCCTCTCTGCGTTCACAGCCATATTTTAGAATAAGCTGGGTGAGTGATAGCATGGCTGGATGCACGGGTAGTTTATTCATAGGTTCCTGTGGAACTAACTTTCTGATTGATTCTGGATGGTTGCCATGGTAATGTTGGATGGAGGTACAGGACACCGAAAGAAAAGCGCATATTCTCTGCCAGGGACAAGCACATTGAGTGTATCCATTCATCATTCCCATGGTGCGAGGGTTCACTGTAACCTCTCTTTACACAATTAATGTCATTTATCATTGTGACAATGTGGATAAAGTGGTGATGTGTCGATGGCTGTTCCAAGATGACAGGAAAAGCAGACAATGAATGAATTTAAACGAGGAATTGATAAAATGAATATTATAATCTTTACAACAAAGCGTAAATGGTTGCAAACTTATGTTTGTGGTTTTCCATATTCGCTCGAGCTGTTGTTGGAACGTGGATGATCAGATCCAATTTCAATGAGAAGCATACAAACCAATCATTCTGAAAGGGTAACTAAACCCCAGGCCTACAGCCTCTCTACATTTTACCATCAATGTGAGCACATCTCAGCACACAGTAAATATGTATCGAGCCTTGTGGAGGTGCATGACGACCGGGTATTTAGAATTTCAGTGCTTAACACTACCCGTACCCACTGATTGGACTTACCATGTTGAACAATCTTTTTCGCTTGAGTGTAAAACATGAGATAAATGCCAGAGAATGGGGCATCTCGTAGGAGTGTTGCAGTCAGGCCAGTAAACAGCCCACGGGGACCCTCTGTTTTGTAGATATTGTTCAAGGCACCATACACACTCCTGTAGCCGAACTTGCCGCTCTGTGGACAGAAAGCAAGTGGTCTGTATAAATGGAACGTGGTAGAATGAATGTATGCAATGAATGAAGGTATCTTTGCTGTTTTCACCTCGTAACGAGTCTTTACAACGGTGAAAGGTAGCATGCAGACTCCGGCTACTGTCCTGGATCCTGCGCCCAACAGAACGGACTCTATAGGTGACGGGCCTTGTTTGGGGAAAAAATGCTGCTTTGCCGCATATAGGGTGCTGAAGTAGAGACCAACTCCAGGAATGCAACGTAAGAAGGACTAAATGAAAGAAAGGCAAAAACATTTTTTTTAAATTGCACACAGCTTTGTATGGTAGCTCTGAATTTTAGCAACACTAAAACAGCTGATTTGGGAAAATCCTTGCCCTTAACTATACAGTCACAGCTGGGCTATTTTAGCCTCAGCTTTGCCGTTTGGATATAACTCAGTAGTTAGAATAAGAGACCCCACAGACTAGCCCAAAATAGCTGAATTCAGAGAAAATGAAATGTAAAATATCTCCAAGTCAGTGAAGTTTTTGGAAAGAAAGGAAGGATGGAACAGCGCTATAGAGTTATGTTTTCAGCTCGGCCTAAACAAAAATAATTATTACATTCACCCTTTAGTGAATAACCTTTCAAGTGATTTATAATGATTTCCCTACGTTGACACAGTTCCCAATGTGGAGATATACACAAAATACTACTTACAGGGTTATTCACCAATGTGAGAATTGCTGTTAACTTAAAGTGAATTTCACAATGTAGACAAAATACCGAACTGGAAACATTCCCCAAGTTACTTCTTATTTCAGTTTGCCTAATTTGCATTATATTTGAAATTCACTATAATTCCCACCCTGTTATTGTTCCTTAAGAATTAAGGCAGGGGTAGGCAACCTTCCGCACTCCAAATGTCGTGGACTACATCTACCCTGATCCAGCGCAACGAAGACAAAAGAAATTGATATAAAGGTCAGTGGAAATGGGGAGAGTATTAGCGCAGTTACTCCAAGTGCCATAACTAGTACAGCCCGCTGAAGTTGACCTTGACGCGATTTCCCGGTAGCCCTCTCACCTGGTCTGCTCTGAAGCAGGATTTACTACATATGGCTCTGTAGAACTGTTGCTCGTTCGTTGAGTCTGGCAATCTTTTTGCTTATTCAATGACTGACAGAATCACCTGAGCACTCTATGCCAATGAACAAGAGTCTGTGCATGAAAACTTGCATAGAATTAGCCAGTCCATAATTCTACTGCCTGGCTGAGGATGCCCCAATAACTCTATAACTCTGGCAGCAGTGGGGTTAAACTTTTTGTGTGCAGTGTTTCATAGCGAAAACGCTGCACATACAGACTTCAGTCAACATAACAGGACTGCTTCAGTGCGGTCATATTTATTCAATATCAAGCTATAAAGGGCAGATATATATATATATATATATATATATATATATATATATATATATATATATATATATATAAAAAAATAAGTCATATGGTTTTTTTTTTTTAAATAATATTCTTCAACAACTAGGGCAGTTAAAAATAATTTTCTGGTCCTCTTTCTGAAAATAATTCTAATGCCTAGATTTTTCCATTTACTTCTAGTGTGACAATTCCTTGAGAAAATGTCATTTTGTCAGGCAGAGCGGCCATGCTGGTTCAGACAGCAGCAGATGACCAGATATCCGTAGAGTCTGACTGAACACGGCTGCAGAGCCACATAAAAAGCGACATTTTCTATAAAATAAAAAAGTTAATCATTACGTTTATTAAAAATAACATTTAAAAAGTGAAAATGTGCTGCCAGTTGTCCTTTAAGAGATGAAATGGCTCCTCATGGTAGGCAAACAACTTTGACTCATGGTACATCTGGCCTCTCGTTTTAGTCCTTTAGGAGGAATGGAAAGGTTAAACACTGCCAGTAGCTGTCTTCCTGACAGCCACTAACGTGGCTTGCACTGCAATGGCCGTATTTAACTCCGTCATTTGACAGATAGAAAACAATTGTTTGGTTACTATCATTTTATGATGTGATGAGATTTTAGATTTATGGAGTTCACTTGCACTATTTCTTGATGACTTACTGCTTGCAATTTGCTGCAAAACACTTATTGGTCGAGTGTTTTGCATTCACCTACATTATATTTTGGTATGATGCACTTTACGTCAAAACTTGGCCCATCTGTGACGACTTAATGCAACCACTGTTATACCACAATTACTTAGTGCTGGGGGTTAAAATTGCAATAGTTTTCCTAGTTATGGAAATGATGTAAACTTACTGGCAGAAGTCCTTTCCACAGACCAAATATGTTCTCGTTTTGGATGATGTTGAGAAATAGCTTGAACATCCCCGGTCGCCTCCTATTAGAAAGTATATGTTTGAGAACCAGTGAATACTAAATCACCTCTAAGACAATGGCTACAATGTGAGGAGGACTTGTTGATAGCAAAGCGACCATGAATGGAGGGACAAATAAAACATTGGAGAGGTGCTGGAAAAGAAGGGATACTGAACATGACATACCATGAGAGGGTTCTTAGGAAACCAAAATCTATCATGAAGGGAGGGTTGATGGGAAAAGTGGAACACCAATCATGAATTGGGAGGCAAAATGTGTTAAAATGTAGGCTTGGAAATTGCACACTCAAAACAAAATGAGTGTGTGCATTGAATGGTGAAAGACCAGAGGAGCATTGATACCAGTAACAGGGTCAGGGCTGGCTGCAAAAGTGGGAATTGTTAGGAATTCCAACTATAAAAAGTCAAGTCAGCTATGCTTCACTGTGTATGTCACCACGGTAACCCATCCTCGCCAGCAACATGTTCTACACTGTATGTCACCACGGTAACCGGTCCCACACTGTATGTCACCACGGTAACCGGTCCCGCACTGTCTGTCACCCCGGTAACCGGTCCCGCACTGTATGTCACCCCGGTAACCGGTCCCGCACTGTCTGTCACCCCGGTAACCGGTCCCACACTGTCTGTCACCACGGTAACCGGTCCCACACTGTCTGTCACCACGGTAACCGGTCCCGCACTGTCTGTCACCACGGTAACCCATCCTCGCCAGCAACATGTTCTACACTGTATGTCACCATGGTAACCGGTCCCACACTGTATGTCACCACGGTAACCGGTCCCGCACTGTCTGTCACCACGGTAACCCATCCTCGCCAGCAACATGTTCTACACTGTATGTCACCATGGTAACCGGTCCCTCACTGTCTGTCACCATGTAAATGGTCCCGCACTGTCTGTCACCACGGTAACCGGTCCCGCACTGTCTGTCACCACGGTAACCGGTCCCTCACTGTCTGTCACCATGGTAACTGTCTGTCACGGTGTCCATACCCGGCTGTGGCGGGCGGCAGGGTCTGCAGGCGGGTTTTGAGCAGGTCCAGCGGTTGGAAGAGCAGGGTGGAGCAGGTTCCGCTCAGAGAGCCGCACACAAACGCCTTCAGCACCGGGTGCAACTGTGACAGGCGGCCGCCGGGGAGCAGGGGCTCAGCCGCCATCACAGAGTGCGACAACATGGCTCCCGGCCGGGCCGCCCGACACAGCGACACACCGGCAACACAGCGCGCATGGCCGGGGAAAGCGGGGAATCACTGCGCATGCTCAGAAACAGCCCGGCCCGCACTGCGCATGCTCAGTAATACCCCGGCCCGCACTGCGCATGCTCAGTAACAACCCGGCCCGCACTGCGCATGCTCAGTAACACCCCGGCCCGCACTGCGCATGCTCAGTAACAACCCGGCCCGCACTGCGCATGCTCAGTAACAACCCGGCCCGCACTGCGCATGCTCAGTAACACCCCGGCCCGCACTGCCCATGCTCAGTAACACCCCGGCCCGCACTGCGCATGCTCAGTAACACCCCGGCCCGCACTGCGCATGCTCAGTAACACCCCGGCCCGCACTGCGCATGCTCAGTAACACCCCGGCCCGCACTGCGCATGCTCAGTAACACCCCGGCCCGCACTGCGCATGCTCAGTAACAACCCGGCCGCACTGCGCATGCTCAGTAACACCCGGCCCGCACTGCGCATGCTCAGTAACAACCCGGCCCGCACTGCGCATGCTCAGTAACACCCGGCCGCACTGAGCATGCTCAGTAACAACCCGGCCCGCACTGCGCATGCTCAGTAACAACCCGGCCGCACTGCGCATGCTCAGTAACACCCCGGCCCGCACTGCGCATGCTCAGTAACACCCCGGCCCGCACTGCGCATGCTCAGTAACAACCCGGCCCGCACTGCGCATGCTCAGTAACAACCCGGCCCGCACTGCGCATGCTCAGTAATAATGCAGGAGCAGCAGCAGGCGGTGGCCATTTTCTTACAGGAACATAAGCCGCTTGCCCGGCTGACAGGAAATGCTTTTCCCTTTCCCTAAATATCCCCCTAGAGCTCAGTATAGAATAACTGGATCATAGGTGGCAGGCTATAGCTTTATACAGAGAGCATGATCAGTATAGAATAACTGTATAAAGCTATAGCCTGCCGCCTATGATCCAAAGAGCACAATCAGTATAGAGTAACTGGATCATTCTTGGCAACTGGCCATTTATAGAAATTCATCATGCCAGCGTTAGAAGCTTTTTATACATACTATGTTAATCCTTTAATTCCTATCCTTGTTAACTTTTGTAATGTAAGATTACTTTCATTTAAGGCTTTGTATATTAAATAAATCTTTAAAAGGATATTTAAAGAAACTGGCTTTATTCTGATATGAGGGGCTACAGTCCAAGTGGTTAATCCCCCGGATCAATTTAATTCCTCATACAATGATAGTCACATTGTTTGGAATGGATCTATAAACTGCTACCCTTATAATTGCATTTATTTGTTGCCATTTAACCCAGTTTAGTGGTGCATGAACCCCAGCTGTGTTTTAGACACCACATGTAAGCATGACTAAACAGGATCCAGCAGCTTGGTAGGTAGTTTTTTTGGAGGTGAAATAGCTGGAATCTGCTGCAGTCCTTGGCCATCACGTGACGTACATCTGTCAGACTTCCATATATGGAGGTGTGGGGAACAACCTTCACATTCGTTGCCCAGCTGATAGTCATTGAGGCAGTGTTCACGTGCATGGCAGCATCAAAATATAACCCGAGACCTGCTAGCGCGCAGTGACGTGGGTGCATCGCAAGTTAGAAATCTAGATCAGATTTCTATAAAGAACACCGATGTGTTAAGGGAACTGCCATTAACGTTGCAATGAAGAGTTTGTGATGGCACTTGTTTTCCTGCCGATATACAAGTCAATGTTCGTATATACAATGTCTTTAAAACCCACTGTGTGCTTTAGTTTCCTACAGGTTCCGATATGAGCCGCTATTTAATCAGAATTCTCCCTATATGACGACACTTAGTTTTGCTTATTGGGAAGGAATTCCATGGTTAACATTTGCTATAAAATCATTAATATGTACAACTAAACAAACATTTAAGGTTATCAGATCCAGACTTGGAGGCCCTTAACGTGATCTGTTGTACTGTCAAACGCATTCATGTTACAGTTTTAGAAGTTTCCTCTGGATTGATTAGTGTAGCAAGCCTCTTGGAACCACTAGTGACCCAACTTTGGATTCAGTCCTAGAACTTCCAATTACACGTCATTTTATCCTGTTTAAATGCTAAATGTGAGCCCTCAGCAGCCCAACCCCTCTGTGCTGCTTGGATTGATAAGGAGGCATTAATCTGAGCAGCAAAGGCCATCTGTGAATAGTTGAGAGGCTGCAAGTGGTAGCCGACACTATCACAATGCCCATTGATGATACAAATCAGTACTGCTAGAGGTGTGTAATTACTGTATTAGCCACACTTACAGTAGAGGTCAGGCTCTGGGTACTTTGTTAAACCACTCAAAATGGGATAAAATTGCAGTGCCTACTGTGTCCCTTTAAATAGACTATCGTCACCACAACTACAGCCTAATGTAGTTCTGGTGAGTATAATTATATGCAGACATTTTCATTGCCCCCTAGGGACACCTCCAGCGGATTCTGGTGGCGCTTCCTGGGACTATGCTGCACAGTAGGCCGCACTGCCGCTCAGAGTCTTCACACTGCCTGGAGACGCTAAATTTTCCTTAATGGTAAAGTATTGGATTGGCTAAAATACGGCAATTTTGATATCCAAGGGGCAGTGCAGGAAATTAGAATTGTTTTAATTCCTTTTAAGGGGGTGAGCTACCTTAATGGTAGTTTTAGCACTATAGGGTCAGGGATACCAGTTTGTGTTCCTGACCCTATAGGGTTCCTATAAAAATAAATGGAAACTGGGCATACATATGAGACTGATATTGTTCAGAGTGCATAATAACCACCAGAAGTTTACGAATAAAATATTGAGAGCAGACACCAATTAAGTTACAGAACACAGAAATATTTGCAGCACTGTCAACGTTTATTGAAAGTAGCAAGGGAGTGACCGTGGGTACGACAAGGCTGCAACATTCAAGGCACTTTGTGGGGAGGTGTGATAGCCAAATGCAAGCTTTCGCAGAGTACAGTGTTGTCACATTGGTCATCACAATCCTTCCAACGCAAGCAACGCCAGAACATTACTGGATTCTTGCGGGACACTCAGGAAGAATTTTCTGTTCGACAGGCAGTGACTATAGAGAGGATATCTTTATTACAAAGAGCATGGCCATTGTGTGCAGGATACCAGATCATATAAAGTGGTGCAGATACCTATATTCCAGTTGCATATTTATAACAGTACTTTTAATATCCTTTAGATACTTACAAGTATATAAAGACATTTTAGAGAAAAACAAAAACAAAAGACAATTATAAGTTCTCTGAATAAACTATTTGGTCCTTACACGAATTCACAAAATTGACTTTTCACTTGAACATACTTGGAAAAACAAAAAGTGTTACATAAAAGTCAATACCAGTATTTAAGGATGGTTTATGATTGCCATTTAAGTTCTGGCCTTCGGAAAAGCGCACAAACTTATTGCCTTTAAGACCTAACAATTGAAGACACTTTTCCGCTGTAAGGAATTGCATCTGATCAATAACTTTGGTGCGTTACACAAAATAAAAAAAGACAAATCTTGGCAGCTCAAAAGTTGTGTTTTTTGTATATAAAGAAAAAAAAACAAAAAACACAAAATAGTGTCTGCCCCCCTTCTAAAGCATTGAAGAGTTGTGCATAGTTATGCAAATTCTTATGATGACTTAAGGATGAGACAGACATGGCATGTTGTGGCATAGTGGTATTCAAATCCGTTACGCATCGCCAGCATCTGCTTTTGCATCATCTTCATCAGAAGCTTCCTCGGCCCCCTTCCTTCCAACACGTCTTGTGACAAAAGGTACATCACCGCGCCTGCATGATCAGTAAAAATTTAAGTTAAAAACAAACACCGTAACCTTTCATAACTGGGACAGAGTATCTGAACTGATTAACGCATGCTGATTAAGTGCTAGTTGTAAATAAAAGACTTTAAACGCACTAAGATTGCAGAGAAACCCAAGTTTATTCAGCTATACTGGTACAGAACTATAGTTTTACAATTCTACCTACCGAAGCTTGCTCTTCAGGGTGTTAACCTCACGGTTCATGGCGTCTGCAGTCTCCGTGGCATCCTCCAGCTCTCGCTGCAGTTTGCGCCTCATTGCGTTCGCACGCTGGGCCTCCTCCTCAGCTTCCTCCACCTGCCTCTTGAGCTGCTTCATGCGAACATTGCTCTTTTCAGCCTTTTAAACAGGACGACATTAAACACGAGTCAGATTGCTGTACTGCCAATACACAAGGACGGTAAATGACTGCAAGCCTGGATAATCACCTGATCCTTGAATTGCTCAGCATTGCGCCTCTCATCTTCCACCTGCATCAGGATATCTTTGAGTTTTTTCTCCGAGCGACGCAACTGCTTACTGGCATTTTGACGCTCCCTGAAACAAAACCAGACCAAGAGAGACTAATAATGAAAGATCTAGCAGTTTAGATCCTGCAGGAGACAGAACAAGTGCATTTTAGTTCAGGGAGTCATGGATCCCACCCTGGACGGATCCAAGTCAGGTATTTTCTCAGTTTCAGAAGGAGTCTACTATTATCTTAAGGGACACCGATCCAACTTTAATAGATTTTAGTATAAATATGCTAGAAGTAAAACATGCCTCAAATCTTTGTAGTTTGAGAACATTTGGCAGAATTCTGCACCATGAGCCTTCTAGGTTTGACAGGATATTGGAAAAAAAACAAACACAAACTGGTGAGTAGAAGTGCCTCGATATCTAGAATTCCCAGCAAACTACCAACAAGGGGTTCTCTCCACCCTTGTGAAGTGGATAGTGAAGAGAACAGACATTTGTACTCCCTTCACCATAACCGGTTTCTTGCTTTGTACTTCTAGATTCATATACTAAGAATATCTATATATAATCTAAGCGTCGATCACCTGTCTGCTGTCTTTATATATGTTTGACACCCTGAGCTGCTGGGAGCTAAGCAGCCTGTGACCAAGGGAAACACGTTAATGAATGTTATAGGTGTATTTCATGAAGTGCACCTGTAATCAGGTGGTAAAATCGGGCAGAGTCTATTTTACACTGTACATGTGGGTGGTACCAGTTCCCTATGAAATTACACAAAAGGGAGACAGAACTTTTTAAGAAAG